ATTTGATTTTATTTGATTTTATTTGATTTGATTTGATTTGATTTGATTTGATTATCAAAAGAATATGACAGGGGCATGGTTTTGTTCAATTGATTATCAATTGATTTTAGATCTACTTTTGTAGTCAGCCCTAGAAATAATTTTCATCATCGGCCCCCACCCTCCCATTAAAAAATCATTTTACCCCAGTACTTAACTATTGTTTTTATAAAGTTTTTATTTTGGGGAAATACATCTTCTCTAAATGAGGTGGATCTGAATACAGAAGCCTTACAGTTTGAATGCGGAATACGGATCCAGGGGCTTAAAAATGTCGTATTTGGATCCGGGGAGCTTTAAAGTTGCGTTTTCGGATCCAGAGAACCTAAAAGTTGCGGTGGATCCGGATGCTTGACACTGGCAGGCAGTGCTTAGGATCCGGATCGGTATCCGTTGGATCCGCAAAATGTTGGCTTCCTGGACCCGGATCCGCAAAAATATGCGGATCCACGGATCCGGATCCAAGGGGCAAAATATCAACCGAAATCTGCAACAACAAAAAATTTACTCTCGAATCCAAATCTGAACTATTGTAAAAAAAAAAGATTATAAAAATTTCCTGATTTTTGAATGGTTCATCAAGTTTTAGCATAAAAATAAGCGAACAAATTAAGACAACTGATGTAAAAATTCTGCTTTTTAAAAAACCAGTAAATCTATGATCTCAAAGCTCAATCTGAACTAATGAAAAACAGAGAAATTTCATTATTTCTGTTGCATAAACATAAGTGATAAAAGAAAGAAAAATAATTCAAAACTCCTTCTTCCATTAAAAATTTCAGTAAATCTTTAATTCATCTTCATGACCTGGATCCGGATCCATATCCATTTTTCCCAGTGCAGATCCAGGATCCGGATCCGCATCAAAATTAAATTGATCCTAAGCACTGATTTTTCAGTTATCTTAATATTCTAAATATAAAGGTTGATTATCTGCGAGGTCTAATAACTCTTGAATCTCTGATTGTAATTTGCCTGGTAGTCAACTACATCATTGTTCTCAGGTACACGCTCTTCACTCTTCAGCCAGGAGTCTAATCTAGATAAAAACATGAAACCACATCAGCACTGAAAAAAACGATGAGCTTAACTTTTGTCATTTTTAATTTGTTTTGAATGCAGATTAAAAATTACTTTTTTTATGAAATGCTAATGCTAATGTTTTATTTCTGGAACACTAACCCGCTGTTATAATCCAACATTATTTTGATAACTTTTTGTGTTGAATAAAACTATCTTGTTTAGGGATTTCAATACTCAGCAACTTCCTCCAGATGTTCTCAGGTTAAACAACTTTTTGAATTTTACTATCAGAGATAAATCAATTAGGAAAATGATTTTTTAGAAAAATTCAGAGGTTATATTTTAAAAACGATTTATTTACACTTTTGTTAATGGGGTGTAGACTTACTTGATCAAGTGATCCTCCATTTTGTTGAATGGTATATCCGATTCACATTAGTACCCATTAAACCTTTCTTCGGATCATCGAGGACGAAGAATTTCTTTTTCTTCAGTCTGAAATTGATTGTCGTGTACACTGGTGTCAAGTTTATGCTTCAGTGTTACCTACACAGTTTACGGACACTCAATTTATAGGGGGGAAAATGTGAATTTGACATGACCCACTTGAAATTGTGTCTACAGTCTTTTTAAAAGCTTAAACTGTACTCACTTGAAAGCTGTGTAGTGAGTGTGTACTGTGTATCTGTATGGGGAATAAGTGTACAAGATGTGGAGTTCAAGGACATGCCAGCAAGCTCCACCTAGCTACGGATCTTAAGTTTAGACTCGCTATCATGAATACTCATGGACCTGAAAGCTTCGCTCACTTTTGGGCTGATGAGGAACGCAAGGAGGATAATCTAGCACATCGAGTAATCCAACCAGTCGAGCAAGCAGCTCCAGCTGAACCTATTGAGAAAGGCCGTGGAGGATCTGGAACTGGAGGATATTGGAGTAACCAAGCAGGTCGTCGTGGGAGAGGTGCCTATGCTGGAAAAGGGGGGAGACATCAAGAATCCAAACCTTACTATAGACAGCATATAGATCCCTGGACAGCTCCGGGGAACTCAAGAGGATCCAAGAAGTCAAAACGTTAGATTGTTTTTGATTGATATATCTATTTGGAGCTATTTACTTTGACGTGGATATATTAATAAATTTAAGCGTTTTTTTTAATATAATGATATTTATTTTGTATAGACTTTGATAAAGGTTATGATCAGTTGCAATTAATAAGAGTTATGATAGCTATAATGGCAGGAATTGAAGGCTAATAATAATAATCGGAATGTTTTAAAAGTGTGAATAGTTTCATTCTAAGGACATACAAAGGTTTGGCTCTGATTGATATCCTGTAGTAAATTATTATTATGTCTAAGATATAATTGAAATGCTACAAAGTCTTTTAAAGTTCGGAATGCTTGTCGAGTACGAAAACTAAAAATAAGCTATCTATTGTTTAGTTGAGGTTTTCATGTGTCTTTTCAAATATCCTTTTCAAGTAATAACTTTCTCACATTGATCACAAGGATAGAGAATGAGGTTTTATAGTTTAGTTGAGGTTTTAATGTGTCTTTTCAAATATCCTTTTTCAGGTAATAACTTTCTCACATTGATCACAAGGATAGTGAATAAGCTTTTTATAGTTTAGCTATAATGGCAGGAATTGAAGGCTAATTATAATAAACGGAATGTTTTAAAAGTGTGAATAGTTTCATTCTAAGGACATACAAAGGTTTGGCTCTGATTGATAACCTGTAGTAAATTAATTATTATTATGTCTAAGATATGATTGAAATGCTACAAAGTCTTTTAAAGGTCGGAATGCTGGTCGATTTGTCCGGAGGTTTATAGCCTTTAGTCTGGTTAGAATACACCGCAGTCTCGAGTACGGGAACTAAAAATAAGCTTTCTATAGTTTAGTTTAGGTTTTCATGTGTTTTTTCAAATATCCTTTTCAGGTAATAACTTTCTCACATTGATCACAAGGATAGAGAATGAGGTTTTATAACTTTCTCACATTGATCACAAGGATAGAGAATGAGGTTTTATAGTTTAGTCGAGGTTTTAATGTATCTTTTCAAATATCCTTTTTCAAGTAATAACTTTCTCACATTGATCACAAGGATAGTGAATAAGCTTTTTATAGTTTAGTTGAGGTTTTAATGTGCCTTTTCAAATATCCCTTTTCAAGTAATAACTTTCTCACATTGATCACAAGGATAGAGAATGAGGTTTTATAGTTTAGTTGAGGTTTTAATGTGCCTTTTCAAATATCCTTTTTCAAGTAATAACTTTCTCACATTGATCACAAGGATAGGGAATAAGCTTTTTATAGTTTAGTTGAGGTTATAATGTGTCTTTTCAAATATCCCTTTTCAAGTAATAATTTTCTCACATTGAACACAAGGATATTGATTTAGATTAGTACCTGAATTTGATTTAGAGGAGGAGTATTAGAGATACATGTTAGTTATTGGTCGTATTCAATAAACGCTAATATTGGTTCAGATTTATTCGTTGTGTAGTCGTTAGACAATAGATGTTTCATCCATTACGATTTATATGCATATATATACAAGGTAAATAGGTTTCATCCATTACGATTTATATGCATATATATACAAGGTAAATAGGTTTAAGATTGTTCGGTTTGAAATTATTCAATTTATGACGTCATTATTTAATCTTTTGGAATTCTTTGTGGGGAGACGTTTCTGTGGTGGTAGGTTTACATAGCACCAGTTTCGGTGCTCAGCGCGTTTGCCGCGCAACCTATTTTTCAGTTCTCTGAAAAGTGGTGACGTGTATCGAATATAATTTGTTTAATTTTATTTTACTTTGTATAGAAGGGTAGGTTATAAATTAGTATAGAGATAGAATCAGTAGGAACAAATTGCATGGCTGTCCTTATTACTATTTTCTCTGCAGGCATAAAGGCCGACCTCTATTATGTTAGAATTGAACCAAAGTACGAGGAGACGATTAACTCTTACCTTTCCAGCAATGGTTGTTCAGCTGAATATCTACCTGTTTCCAGTGACAAGGATAAGGCTAAACATATCATAAACAGCGTGTTTAATAAGATGAAGTTTAAACTGCCGTCTTTATGTAAACCAAATGAACCTCTTAGTCTAATTGAGTTCCTTGAAGATTTGATGTCTAAAGATTATATATCAACTAGCTGCATGACATCAGAGGATCGCAGGAAGGTTAAAGGACTTAACAAGGGTACCGGACCAGCTGATACAACCACGACGACAAATCCTTCATCGCCGATTTTCGACAGCTCTTTTGACGATGATGTTCTTAATGAGGTGATAAGGTTGGAGAGCTCAAGGAATGCCCTGGACCAAACAATTATCTACACGCCGATTTTAGATGTGTTGGACAAAATAAATACCAATTTAGAGGGGCAGGATAAGATGATGAAGAATATATCAAAGGATGTGGCGGAACTTAAAGAAGACATGAAGGAGGTTAGAGTTATACAAGATAAACATGAAATAGCTTTGCAGCAGATCCAAGTTAAATTGGGGATTGAGTCTCCAGTCGGAGGCAACACGGTGGATAATTTTAAACAACTCTGCATATACTGTGTGACGGAGTACCACCAAGAAGAATCTTGTATCTGGCGGATTATGAAGTGTGGGGAGTGTGGGGAACAGGGACACAGCATCAAGGTCCATCGTGTTACTGACCCAGTACTGAAAGAACGGGTACGTCAATTCCATGGCAAACGTAAATTCAACTTTAATGTTTAATGATTAGTATGCGATTAAATAAACCAGTTTATTATGCTATGAATAATGAATGAACGAGTTTTGTTTGGTCAAAATTTAGCATCTTAAGGTTAATGACGAATAGTTTAGAGAATGGTTAAGTTAGATTAATATGCTATTGAATGTTAGATAAACTTGTTTTCTTTGGTTAAGAATTAGACACATATAGGTATGAATGGTTTAACTGAAGGAAGATGAATTTAATTAGCTATTTATTATAAAAGTAACAACTTCAGTTAAGAATGGTGTAGCATATAAAGTATAATATGATATTATGAATATTAGTAGGCTGTACGAGTTACAACATTAGTATATAAATCGTTTATGTTTTTTTCAGATAATTGCAAAGAAAATGGGTAAACGTCGTAACAAAGCTAGGGCTATTAAACATAAGCTAGCAATTAAAATGAGTAAATCAGGCCCAAATGGAAAAATTCTTAAATGTTTATATTGGAATTCTAATGGAATGCAATGTTTGTGCAAGCAGCAAGAGTTAATTGATTTAATGGAATTGGAATTGTTGGATTTGGTTATGGTTGATGAAACTCATTTTAAACGAAATTCCAACATAGATCTTTCTGCTTTTGACGCGTATTCCCCAATTTTCATAGAAAGAGGAGTTGGGGAGAAGGCGGGAGGTGGGAAAATGGTATTGATTTCTAAGAAATTTCACACTATAAAATGGTCGCCATCATTGGACGAAAAAGAGTGGGTTAATAATGAAAGGGTTTGGATTTTGTTTCAGAATAATATAGACAGGATAGCAATTTGTAGTGTATACATGGCTTGTGAATCTACTTTAAACAATGATTATAAAACGTGGAATGACCTGATCTATGCAGAGTTGGATAGAGAATTGAAAGTTTTAGAAAATGATGGGTATAAGTGTGTCATTGTGGGAGATCTAAATGCGCATGTTGGACTACCGCCAGGGGGAATCGAGGGGAATAGGGCAGGGGTAAACTATAATGGTAAAAAGCTGCTTAATTTTATTGAAAGAAATAATTTGTTAATGGTTAATCAAGATAAGAATATATGTTCGGGTACGTTCACACGAGTTACACCTCACTCAAGTTCAGTTCTTGATTATTTGCTTGTCTCGCAATCAATGAAAAATGATGTATTAAGAATGGGAATTGATTCTGAGGTGGAGCTACTCTCAGGCAGCGACCATTTAGCAATTCGATTTGACTTAAACCTGACAGGGGCCGTGAACATGAGTAAGGAGCCAAAGCAAGGTTTTTTTCTATCGGAAAAACGGGACATGGGAGTAGCTAAGAAAGAAATGGATAGACAAATGGACGAAATTGATTGGGATTCATTGAGCTTGAATGAATGGGATGAAAACTTGCAAAATATCCTAATTTCCGCAAACGTTAATTCATATAATAATGGTCCACGGAAATGCAGTAAGCCAAGGGGTACGTTTAGATTGAAACGGTTGAAAGCCAAAAGAAAAGAAATGGAAAGAAAAGAAAAAAGGCTTTCACTGGAAAAAGTTAGGCGCGCATTAGCAAATGAGGAATGGACAATTCAGGACCAAAATGAGTTAAATGTTGCGGCAAAGGAAAACCAAGCAGTGTTAGAAGAGGTAAGCAAACGAAGCCTTGAGTTAAAATTTAATAAAACCAAGTTATTAAGAAATCGGACTGATATTAAAAATGAGTTTTTTTGGAGATTTAGTTCAAAAAACGGAAAAGAAAAAAGGAGGCCTGTCTATCATTAAAGGGCCGGATGGTAAAATTGAAACAGAAAGAGATAAAGTAGCTGACATAGCAATAACTGAGCTGGCAAAGGTTTTTCTTGGGCAAAAAAGTTCTATATTTGAGTCATACGGGCAGCAAATTTTAAAAGAAATAACGGTTAAAAATAGTACAAATTATGGAAAATGGATAAAAAAGTCTAAGGATGAATTTGAATTTGAAAATGAAGTTTGCACACCTTGCACTAAAGAGAAAATTATGGAAATAATTAAAGGTATTAAACTTAATCGGGCACCAGGGGTGGATGGAGTGCTTACTACGATGCTTAAAAATGCAAGTGACAAATTTATTATTAAACTTACGGAAATGATAAATATTTGTCTCGCAAATGGGGATGTACCGGCTATTTTAAATACAGGGAAAATGACCTTGATCGACAAAAAAGAGCCATCTCTGGATATTTCTAAAAAACGACCCTTAACAGTTTCAAGTGTACTGCTGAGCGTGATTACTAAACTGCTTCATGAACGCATGAATTTAATATGTGAGAGAGAAAATCTTTATGGTATTGTCCAGTATGGCTTTCGTGATAATCCCGCGTTCTTCTTCTGTTGTGGAACTCTGTTTTGGAGGCCGCAAAACATCGTCTTCCACAGTATAATGTTTGTTTGGATTAGAAGATGATTTGTTGAAAAGGAGGCATTTTGTGTCTTGTTTGGATTAGAAAATGATTTGTTGAAAAGGAGGTATAATGTATGTTTGGATTAGAAAATGATTTGTTGAATAGGAGGTATAATGTTTGTTTGGATTAGAAAATAATTTGTTGAATAGGAGGTATAATGTTTGTTTGGATTAGAAAATGATTTGTTGAATAGGAGGTATAATTTTTGTTTGGGTTGGAAAATAATTTGTTGAATAGGAGGTATAATGCTTGTTTGGATTAGAAAATGATTTGTTGAATAGGAGGTATAATGTTTGTTTGGATTAGAAAATGATTTGTTGAATAGGAGGTATAATGTTTGTTGGGATCAGAAAATGATTTGTTGAATAGGTGGCTGCGGATCTATGTATGAAGTATATGTGGAAGCTCCAGAATTCAAGGCATACATTAAATAAAAATAAATCAAATACAGTGAGACCCATAAAACTATGGAATAGGAAAACAACTGTTAACCAGAATTTTTATTTTTAAATAGTCCATTTAACATGAAACAAAGGAATTTTCATTGCGCACTGTTTATCCAGTATTAACCCGTTCAAATTATAAAGTTTATTTTTTATTTCTTACTATTATAACTTTTTTTTACAACATCTAATACATATAAGATTGCATAAATGTCGTATTCCTATTCCACAGTTTTATGGGTGTTATTATATTGTAATAAATTGATTTTTTGAAAATACCAAAATTACAATTAAATTAGTAAGTTTAACTTTGAATACATTTTAAAATTTTTTTTTTATTTGCCTCCAACATAATTAGATTTTCATTAAATTTTGAAAATCGACGCAATTTTTTTTTTCATCTGCGAACTTTTTTGTTTGTTTTGTTTAACAATGTATACAAAGAGAAAATTTTCACAATTGAAATAGAAGAAAGCTTCGATTTTAATTTTAAAAGTCCACCCAATTTTTTTTTATAAAATGCGCGAACTTTTTTTGTTTTTGTTTTATAATGCATACGAAGAGAACATGTTCACAATTGAAATAGAAGATGGGCGCAAAGCGCCCTGTAAGCTTCGATTTTCATTTAGTTTTGAAAATCCACGCAATTATTTTTATAAAATCCGCGAACTTTTTTGTTTGTTTTGTTTTACAATGTATACAAAGAGAAAATGTTCCCAATTGAAATAGAAGATGGGCGCAAAGCGCCCTGAAAGCTTAGTATGTATCATGTTTATATATACTTTGCTTGTCTGGGTTTTTGTTTGTACTTTGTTTGTATTCAATAGACGTCAAATTGGCTGAACCGAACAGGCTAAAATTTTGTGTGGGACCTCACATGACCCCAGAGAAGTTTTATTACTGATCAAAAATTTGCCTCCAACAAAATTCAATTTTTATTAAATTTTAATAAATACTCGAATATTTGTACAAATAATACGCGATTTTTTTTTTTACAATTTTGGGCAAAATAAATGATTTTGATGTGATTAATTAATATATTTTTGGGAAAAGTATCAAAAAAATAAAAGTTGCCTTTCGATGTCTAATTTTTTCTCCCAGGTCATCTAAAATTTACACCCCTGACTAATACAAATTAAAAGTTTTTTCGGAAATATTCTTTTTTTTAAATTTTATAATATTTAATATATAATCAGGGACTGCGTATTGTAAAGCAACATCAACTTGTAACAGAAGCTCTGAAAAAAGAAATTGGAGACATGCATGGAATTAGAATATCAACAAATACCAGCAAATCTTGATTAATTCAGACTAAAATTATGTATTAATAACATACTTTAAAAAGTTCAAATTCATTCTGAGTAGACAGACATACAATCATTAATTAGAACTGAATTCTTGTAGGTTCGATGAAAGAAAAAAGCCGAAAGACTGAATTTAAATTTTCTAACCAAGATTTATTTTCAGAAAGATGAACAGTGACGAAGAAGTTTTGGTAGAAAATGGAAGAAAGTAAGTTTGCAATCAATCAATCAACATTTTTTTCGCCTTTTAATTCTTTCGATCATTGAAAATGTTCTTTACACCCTAGAACCGAAATGTCGTAATATCTATTTATGTCATTATAAGGGTATTATTTAGTACGAAAAAGTTTTTGCCGGGCTTTTTTATTTTTTCTAGTTTGATCTTAAACAAACTAAAAAATTAAAAATCACAGCAAAAACTTTTTCGCACGCATAATACCTAATTTAGTAACATATATAGTTTTATTCAGTTTTACTCAAATTATTTAAAAGCAGGTCGATAAAGTTACTTAATCACCCTGCTGTAGGGTGACTAAGTAACTTTATCACCATACAATGAGACAAATTAGTAATGAAATTTGAAATTTTAATAGCAGGGTTAAAAAAGTTACCTTACTTTTTCGCTCTGTTGTAGGGCGATAAAGTCACTTAATTACCCTACAACTAGAAATATTAGGTGTGATAGATTCCACCAAAATTGAATAAAGATGATATGATTGGAGTCCTTGCAAGGTTAACAAATAAAGGTTCAAGAAAGTAAGTTAAATAATCGGATAAGCAAACTTACGAAATTTTTTTTTGTGCAAATGCAATAGTGACCAAAATCTTTGGAAATGAATGACATAAAACTATTTTCTAAGTTCTGCCTTTATTCAGCGATGAAAAAAATGTGGGATTTTCGACATTTTTTGTTCGGCTCAATGAATTCCTGTAATATATAATCCTTAATCTATCCGTATTTTTTAAATATGTTTTTTTGATTTAGGGGGATTAAAGTAATTTATGAGAAAAGAATAAATAAGGGGAAATTAAACAAAACTTTAAAAAAATCATTTTATATTTTCAAGATAAAAGGAAGTTGGACGCTTCCAACCTCTAATAAACCTTAATATATATATTCATTAGGGTGTTCCATTTTCACAAAAAATTAAATTTTGGATTTGCTCCGTAATTCCCCCCGTTCATACAAGCCCCCTGAGAGTGAGCACAAAAATACATATAAAAGTTGTGCTTAATCTTGGAAACAAAAAATGGTGAAAATTCAAACGTCATGTGTGTGTGTCTGTACCAAAAAAATGTGTGTGTAAGTAATACCGATTCAGTACATAAGAATTTCGGTATTTGTACAGTCTAGGAGAGTACATTTGTTTATTGTTAATAGTTTTAAAAAATAAGTTTAATATACATGTAATATATTATTTATATATTTAAGTCAACACTATAAGCCAAATTTTCATGCAAAGAATATAATTTGATTAAAGTTTACAATAAACTACTCGTTATTCAAGCTTAATTATAATTGATGACAATGTTCTTCAATTTCCTTGACTGTATTCATGTTGTGTGTCTGTACCAAAAGAGTGTGCGTGTGTTATACCGAACTTGTCTGCAAAGCAGTGCGACTGGCTTTCTCATGCCAGACCTGCGCCATTTCCCTTCCCTTTATTCTTATTCCCTGTCTCAAACTCGGTTCTCGTATAACCCATATTGGCTAGACTGCGATTTATAAGTTTTCTCTTAAATTTCACAAATATAATATTTGCAGATTCCAGAAAGTTTCTACGCTTCCTGTGGCTGTTATTCAGATCATATTATGCGTCTGCCAGATCATTCTTGTGTTTATGCTCCCAGAGCTTTGTGATAAAAAGGTGAAACCCATTTTTAGCAATTAGCAATTTTATGTTTTCTTGAAATTGTTTAAATCTATAAAATAAAGCTCTTTGCTCACATATATATATATATATATATATATTTGTATATATGTTAGCTAAAGCCGGCCAAAAATCAAATTTTATTCTTTAAAAATTCCAAATCTTTCGTCTCAAGAGTTTCAAAAATTCAACGGGCAACGCCGGACACTTCAGCTAGTATTAAATGGATTTTGATTTTTCACATTTTTGAAACTTTTGTTTATTAAATTTTCCTGTTTTAAAACATTTTAAAAATTGAATAATTAAGTTAAATCAATAGTCATCGTAGATACCCCTGAATTCGAGGCTAAATAGTAAATATATCCTATAAAGGGTCGTGAATGTATCATCAACTCCTTCTCTCTTCTAATCTACACACATGGATTCCATTGGTGCTGTATCCTGATCATGGATCAAGTACTCCACTTCTCACATCATAAATCTAGACTGAATGGATACCTAGACTTCTATATCAGGTATTAGGCAGCAGAAACATTAAAGAAAACTGTCAGAACTAAGCACTAGCCAAGATAGAAAAATAACGATGATGAAGGTTTAAAGGGTTCAGATGTAAATCATACATGCTACTTTATAAATGGAGGGTCATTTTAAATTACGATGACACTCTCTCTAATTTGAAGGTATTGTATATACTAACCTAGATTTTGTTCAGAACTAAGAATATACGTCGAGCTCCTTTCTACCTTGTTTCCGCTGGAAATGCAGTTCTAATGCTGGTCGTCATTATTCTTCATGATTTGTGTGATAACAACGAGGCTTGCAAACATACAAATACAAAAGTAAGGATTTTTATTATTAAAGTAAGAAGAGTTTAAAGTATAATCCACGAAGAAAGCATTAACCTTCCCGGAATGGGTTGGACCTTAGTGCAATTGTCACCCTTTCCCCCTTTCCTTTGTATTGTTGTGTTCTTTTGAGCTCATTTTGTTATTTATTTTTGCAAAATCAACTGTTCTCTGTGTTTCCATGATTCCTTTTCTCCTCTTCACCACTTCATTGGCACTTACCATGTGAAATTCTCCTCAAATTCTTATAAAACGTTTTTTCGTTTTTTTATCAATTCAAAAATTTCGTTCTGCTAAAACAGCCCTAGCTTTTTGAGTCTGCATGCTGCGGATTGTTTTTTTCCTCTTTGTCCACGTTATATATTTTACTAGAATTTTAGATTGTAAACTTGTTTTCGCTGAAATAAATGATTTGATTTTATTTGATTTTATTTGATTTTATTTGATTTGATTTGATTTGATTTGATTTGATTATCAAAAGAATATGACAGGGGCATGGTTTTGTTCAATTGATTATCAATTGATTTTAGATCTACTTTTGTAGTCAGCCCTAGAAATAATTTTCATCATCGGCCCCCACCCTCCCATTAAAAAATCATTTTACCCCAGTACTTAACTATTGTTTTTATAAAGTTTTTATTTTGGGGAAATACATCTTCTCTAAATGAGGTGGATCTGAATACAGAAGCCTTACAGTTTGAATGCGGAATACGGATCCAGGGGCTTAAAAATGTCGTATTTGGATCCGGGGAGCTTTAAAGTTGCGTTTTCGGATCCAGAGAACCTAAAAGTTGCGGTGGATCCGGATGCTTGACACTGGCAGGCAGTGCTTAGGATCCGGATCGGTATCCGTTGGATCCGCAAAATGTTGGCTTCCTGGACCCGGATCCGCAAAAATATGCGGATCCACGGATCCGGATCCAAGGGGCAAAATATCAACCGAAATCTGCAACAACAAAAAATTTACTCTCGAATCCAAATCTGAACTATTGTAAAAAAAAAAGATTATAAAAATTTCCTGATTTTTGAATGGTTCATCAAGTTTTAGCATAAAAATAAGCGAACAAATTAAGACAACTGATGTAAAAATTCTGCTTTTTAAAAAACCAGTAAATCTATGATCTCAAAGCTCAATCTGAACTAATGAAAAACAGAGAAATTTCATTATTTCTGTTGCATAAACATAAGTGATAAAAGAAAGAAAAATAATTCAAAACTCCTTCTTCCATTAAAAATTTCAGTAAATCTTTAATTCATCTTCATGACCTGGATCCGGATCCATATCCATTTTTCCCAGTGCAGATCCAGGATCCGGATCCGCATCAAAATTAAATTGATCCTAAGCACTGATTTTTCAGTTATCTTAATATTCTAAATATAAAGGTTGATTATCTGCGAGGTCTAATAACTCTTGAATCTCTGATTGTAATTTGCCTGGTAGTCAACTACATCATTGTTCTCAGGTACACGCTCTTCACTCTTCAGCCAGGAGTCTAATCTAGATAAAAACATGAAACCACATCAGCACTGAAAAAAACGATGAGCTTAACTTTTGTCATTTTTAATTTGTTTTGAATGCAGATTAAAAATTACTTTTTTTATGAAATGCTAATGCTAATGTTTTATTTCTGGAACACTAACCCGCTGTTATAATCCAACATTATTTTGATAACTTTTTGTGTTGAATAAAACTATCTTGTTTAGGGATTTCAATACTCAGCAACTTCCTCCAGATGTTCTCAGGTTAAACAACTTTTTGAATTTTACTATCAGAGATAAATCAATTAGGAAAATGATTTTTTAGAAAAATTCAGAGGTTATATTTTAAAAACGATTTATTTACACTTTTGTTAATGGGGTGTAGACTTACTTGATCAAGTGATCCTCCATTTTGTTGAATGGTATATCCGATTCACATTAGTACCCATTAAACCTTTCTTCGGATCATCGAGGACGAAGAATTTCTTTTTCTTCAGTCTGAAATTGATTGTCGTGTACACTGGTGTCAAGTTTATGCTTCAGTGTTACCTACACAGTTTACGGACACTCAATTTATAGGGGGGAAAATGTGAATTTGACATGACAGAAATATATCAATTTCAAGGGCTTTTCAAGCCCCAACGGGTATGAGCCCCCCCTGGAAAGAAAAATAATTTAAGCCCACCACCCTGGACAAATTCCTTACTACGCCCCTGGATTTCAACAATTAAAATGTCAAAAAATATCAAAAATTGAAAGTTTCATAAATTAGGATATTATTCGTTTAGTTTAAGTCGTATAAACATTTTGTAAAAAGCAAAATAAATTTTTTTAATCTGAAAAGTTTGAGGCGTATGCACTATACATATTTTGAATCAAGCAAAAACATAAAATGTTCAATACATTTTTTTAAATCTGAAAGTCGTACGGTACAATTAATTATTTAATATGTAATGTTATTAATAGCAAAAAAACGCCAATACATCTACTCAAACTTCAAGGCACCCCCCCCCTCCCCCACCCAATCCGTTAAAATTTATGTTATTTATTTTCTAACGTTTCTATAAAGATATGTCGAACTTTTGAAGAAAATATAATAATCTTTTTTTTAAACTTAATATTTATATTTTTCTGTTTTTTTTGTTAATTGTTTACAATTGTGTTACATAATTGGTTTTCATGTATTAAATTTTAAATGAGTTACGGAAATCAATTTTAAATTTTAAGTAAAATTAAGTTCAGTGTATTTAAAGTTAGAATAATAAAAGATAACCTTACAGAACTAATCATTCCGTGTTTGTTTACGCTTGTAGGCGTTTGCATATTTCATATAAGACAACATTTTCGAAGAATATCGCATGTTAAAAAGAAACACATTTTAAGACATGATAATTTCTAATGTGAGAAGGAATATAGCATGTTACAGACTATAATTTAAAACATTATAATTTGTAATAAACAAATGTCGAAAAACTCTGTTCAGTTGTTTAAAAGTGATATGTATTAGAAATGCGTATAAAAACATTTTGAAAATAAAACTATGCACCAAAACACTTCAAAAAAATATTTAAGAAAACAGCACTTTCCGTTTTAATGATGAAAATTATAGGATTTTAAAAGACGTTTGTTTTGTCCTTTAAATGTTATAAAATTAGATCTTTAACTATATTTTATTTAGGGATGATTTCACCTCTTCAGTTATGTTGGTAAGATTTTTAACTTTCATTGAATTTTCTATATTTTAACAGTTCGGTTTCCAGATGCCTTTTAATACAAATAAGTTCTTTTTTATTTTTTTAGCAGCCAATTCAGAGCAAAACATAAGGTTTAGATACTTACTAATTTTTCTAAAATTCTAAAAGGTTTAAAAATGATTTTAAAAAAATTCTTGCGTTTAAAGGTTTAAAATTTGTATGTTAAGCAAGCACAACTTTTTGTTTGGGATTTATCCAGTCATCCTAGGGTTACCTGGTGATATCTTTTAAACCTATGCTTAGCCTGGTATCCTCATTCCACATCCAGCAGAACAGTTTCCCTTCCATGAATTTACCAAATTAATCTGTTTGTAGAACCGGACATCTGAGAGTGTTGGATACAGGGAGAAGGATCAAATACTGGAGGTCATGGAGAGACAGGCCGAGGTTATCAGGTAGAAGAGTAGAGTACAGGCGGAGGTTATCAGGTAGAAGAGTATAATACAGGCAGAGGTTATCAGGTAGAAGAGTAGAAAACAGGCCGAGGTTATCTGGTAGAAGAGTAGAATACAGGCGGAGGTTATCAGGTAGAAGAGTAGAATACAGGCGGAGGTTATCATGAAGTAGAGTAGAATACAGGCGGAGGTTATTAGGTAGTAGAGTATAATACAGGCGGAGGATATCAGGTAGAAGAGTAGAATACAGGCGAAGGTTATCAGATAGAACTGTAGAATATAGGCTGAGTTTATCAGGTAGAAGAGAAGAATACAGACGGAGGTTATCGATTGTAGAGTATAATACAGGCGGAGGTCATCAGGTAGAAGAGTAGAATACAGGCGGAGTTTATCAGGTAGGAGAGTATAATACAGGCGGAGGTTATCAGATAGTAGAGTATAATACAGGCGGAGGTTATCAGGTAGAAGAGTAAAACACAGGCGGAGGTTATCAGGTAGAACAGTAGAATACATGCGGAGGTTATCAGGTAGAACAGTAGAATACAGGCGGAGGTTATTAGGTAGAAGAGTAGAATACAGGCGGAGGTTATCAGGTAGAACAGTAGAATACAGGCGGAGGTTATCAGGTAGAAGAGTAGAATACAGGCGTAGGTTATCAGGTAGAAGAGTAGAATACAGGCGGAGGTTATTAGGTAGAAGAGTAGAATACAGGCGGAGATTATCAGGTAGTAGAGTTAATACAGGCGGAGATTTTCAGGTAGAAGAGTAGAATACAGGCGGAGGTTATCAGGTAGAAGAGTAGAATGTAGGCGGAGGTTTTTAGGTAGAAGAGTAGAGTACAGGCGGAGGTTATCAGGTAGAAGAGTAGAATACAGGCGGAGGTTATTAAGTAGTAGAGTAGAATACAGGCGGGGGTTATTAAGTAGAACAGTAGAATACAGGCTTAAGTTATCAAGTAGTAGTTGTATAATGTATTAAATGCTTTTAAAGGCTGATTATAGTTGAATTTTATTTTATTTTTTCAGGTACCTCAGAGAGCACTCTGAAACTCTAGGTAACTTAGCTTTTTTTTAATTTGCCGCCGCTTTTTTAATCTATAATCTTAATGTTTCTCATTTGAAATAATTGTAAATTAATCTTAGAATTTTTGAATTGTCAGAACTACCTTTAATCGATTCAAATTGTTTCTTTGTAGAAAGAAGAGTTTAATCGATTGTTTAAATGTTTAAAGTTCTGATGTTCGGCCAATGAGAGATCTGTAAATCTGGCGTGTACAGGGTTACCCACAAAAAAGAAGACTTCAGCGACGACTGTACAGAATTTGTAAAGTCTTTTTCTAATAATCTTGATTGTCTGAAAATGGAAACTCGTTTCTTTTTATGATAAATCATGAATTAAATCAATGAAAGGAAATATTGTAGTCAACAGATCAAATCCAACCTGCAGATCGCATTATCTTTTGATTTGTAGGTCATTTAAGCCTCAACCCTTTGTATGTGACCCTGTACCAACCTATCATTTAAACAAAGATGACTAAAAATTTTGAGTTTAATATTGATAAACATTATCTCATTTAAAAATTCCCATTGTTGTTTGCAGAGTTTAGGATCCGGATCTGTTAAAATATGCGGATCTACGGATCCGGATCCAAGGGGCAAAATATCAACCAAAAACTGCAACAAACAAAATTTGTTACTCTCAAACCCTAGATCAGAACTGTTGAAAAAAACATTTCTTGGGGCCAAATTTAAAGAATTTGAACCGCGGCTTAAATTTAAGCCTCTGCTCAATATAGTTGGTTCCACTTTAAATTGTATTTAATTTTAATGATTTAAGCCGTCGCTCAATTGAAACAGGTTTTGGGGGGATTTGAGACGCGGGTTAAATTCATAATATTCGGACACTGGTCGCTAAATGGTTCATCGAGTTTTAGCATAAAAATAAGCTAAAACAAAAGGAAAAGAATTCGACAATTCTGCTTTCTTAAATAAATTCAGTAAATCTTAAAGAAATGTTAATGACTTGGATCAGGATCCATTTTTTTTTCAATGCGGATCCAGGATCCGGAACTGCATCTAAATTAAATGAATCATAAGCAGTAAGTAAGTACTGTTTGTTAGAATAATTTTCCTTATTTAGGTCGTAAGATCTTGGTGCTGACAAATCAGTTATCTGACAGTGAGCGCATCTAGAAGATCCCAGGAGCCTTTGGGAAACTATTTGCCTTTAGAAGCAACATTGATTCTCATGAGTTTAAGAATACTGAGCTTTAATCAAGTTTGGTTTGTTTACTGCAGTTCAAACAAACCTGGCCATTCTGTAAATATATAATTTTTGTCCGTTTATATTTTATTGTCATGAAATTCTTTGAAATTTTACATTTTTGAAGATGGACTTCAAAGTTTTAATGTTTCGATATATTTGGGGTTAAATAAACGATTTGCATTTTATTGAGATTATAATTTTACCATTTCATCAAAAATAAACCGCACTGCAAATTCGTAGGTTTTCTAAACTTAAGTCATAATGTTTTTTTAACTAAATTTGTAAGAGAATTCAAAACCGGTTTTTACAATTATTGTTGTGTGTGCAGGCAATGCACAAGCATGCCCTTACAATTAAGATCTTATTGTCAGATATAATGGTCAGCATATGCATAGATATATATTTATATTCTTATCAACACCTTGGTTTCATAGTCTACATATTCTTAAATTAGCGATCTGAATTTATAATTGCAAAATCAAAGACGACTTCTTTAAACATATTTGGGTTGTTTGCACTATTTCTTACTAGCTGGAGAACCTGAGGTTGCCCAGGTTTATAATATTACTCATAGTTACTCCTGCCGTTTAACCGCGCGGGGTAAAAAATCAAGATTTTAGCTGAAATGCCAAGTGTTGCCCGTGGAATTGTAAAAAATTCTAAAATATATGAGCCTCTGTTACCCCCGGGAATTGTAGGCCAAGGGTTCCCTCAAAAGAAATCAGACATTTGGTCCAGACTTTTGGCCAGCTACAGCTAACATATAATAAGCGAAGCGTTATCTATATAGTAAAACAAGACATTCGTATATGTATATATATATATATGTTGCCTATAGCCGGTCAAACGGCTGGACCGATTGGACTGATTTTTTTGTGGACACTCATGGGTGTTAAAGGCTTAAAAAATCGAAAATATTTTTTTTAAAATACTTTTTTCAGAGGCAACGGTGGACCCTCCAGCTAGTATTATATAAATTCAATTCAACAATTATTACATGAAGCTGCAGTAAAGAATATTGGTCCCTCAAGATATCCTCGTGAGTAGAAATGGATCCTGTTTTTCAGGATTTTATGTTTTTTTTTATTCAAAAACGTCGTAACGGCCTACATCATGTTTCAAGTGTACATAGTAACAAAATAAGTTTCTTTTTCGTGTGGGATCTCTTGAGAAACTAAAAATCTTTGAACTCTTTTATTTTTAGTTTAGGTGTTTTATTGGTCGTTTAAATTTGCCATATATGTAGTCTGTGTGTACCAGGGTGTTTGTCCGATCATAACTTAGTCTGGTTTTAAAATTCTTATTGAAGTTGGTTTCCAGGCAAAGCATACCAAGCTAGTTTAGTTCTAGATAAAAGTGTAAAAGTAGTTATTGCACCTTTATGTTTGTTTAAGCTTGGGAACCCAGCTTTGCGTGGAGTTCTTCCTATCAAAGTCAACCTTTTCAACTTAACATGATTAAACCAGTTTAAGAACCAAGCGTTAGGCAAATCGGTCAAGGGGTTCATGAGTTATAATCTAACATACGAACAATAGACACCCAAACATAGATTACTAATTTATTTAGATTGTTTCTTTCTTTCTAGCAGTTACTTTTTTTATTTTTCTTAATATCTGTAAACTCATAACATGCTGACCATTGTAATTATTTGAATATTGTGTAAATCTGTAAATTAATCAAAATATTTATATTTTTAGTATTTTTGAGGGTTACCTGAATAATGATCTGAACTGCAACAAAACCGATGATACTCTCAATTATTTTTAAAGTGGGCTTTGTAAATTAAATTTGTTACCTGTTAAGTATGTTTCTCTTAAAATAATTAAATGTACAAATTAAATCATTTTAATTTTGACACAAAAGAGTAAAAATATTAACAGTTTTTATAATCAAGAAAAATTCTCCTTAGACTTTAATACTTTAAAAATCCTCTGAAATAATTTTTTCCAACAAAAAAAATCTAAGGTTTTTATTTGTGAAGTGTTTTTTTAGTGGTACGAAGAATTTTTTTGATAAAGTAACAAACAAATAAGAAGAAATTATTCTTTCCCACGCCCCCCCCCCCAAAAAAAAAGATTCAAAAATAGCATCAAAATATTGATCGTAAAATTGATATACACAATTGTAATTTTTTTATAACTTCAAATAGTTTAAAATGTATTTAAAGACAATATAATTTTTCTAGTGGGAGGAATTAAAAAAAAATATTAATTATTAATAGTTGTGTGGAGGGAAATAGCATATATTATGCTTATTTGAAAATAAAATTGACATTTTACGGAAAATTTTTTGTAATTTTGAGAACTGAAGTTTTAATATTTAAAAAGTGAGGTTCTAGTGAGTATTTTGAAGTGAGCCTGCGTACAACAAGATGACAATGTCCTATTTACTACTGTACCCTTCAAGGTTTTTTGCATAGGTGGCTTCAGGGGGAGGGGTGGCAGTATATTACTCCCCCTGAGTGGGTGTACCCCCCTGGATTTTTACAAAGTCATTACTCCAAAGGCTTTTGACCTGGAACAGGTCATCTATGACCACCGACAGGTTGGTCAAGCAGGAAAGAATGGCGATGCACCCAAAGAGGCTTGCCTCAATTTCGGAAAACAGTTTATTTTTTATTTTTGTTTTCTAAACTAAAATCCTTTTTGTTTACTTTCAGCCTTCTTTAATTCTTATTAAATTATTTATTAAATCTAAAAATGAAATAAAGAAACTGCTAGCAGAGGGGGTTCAAATTTGGTGTAAGCTTACAGGGGGCGGTAAAATCAATATATGGTGGGGGTAACATTTTTTTTTGAAGCTTCGCCCGAATATATATAGCCCCTCCCTAATTATAAATCTTGAAGCCGCCCTTGGTTTTTTGTCTCTTCTAGTTTAATTAGATATTGAAGTTCATCATTTTCAAACTGAATATTTTCCTATCTTCTGGTTTCTGTACAAAGTTACTTGCACATTTTTATTGCAGGGAAACACACTTCACTTGAATTTAACACGTTTTGAATCAGGCATTGCCATCTTTCCATGGAGGGTTACTTCAGATGGAGTGTCACTTAAAGGGTGCAGTTGTGTTGTGGGACATGCCCCTCTTGAAATGGAGTTTCATCTAATGTGTGCAGTTAGGTTGTAGAACATGTCCCTCCTGAAATGGAGTTTCCATTAATATTACAACAAAGACAGTTCCTAGAGTCCTAAGATGGCGAGTAAACTTAATAAATACAAAGCTTATACTGTATAGAGTTCAGAGCGTTCCATATCATATTAGATTTTCTTTAAACTCCTGAATACGCGAATAATACTCGAAAACCCTGGTATTTTCTGCAAGAATTTTTTTTTAGTTACCCTATACATTTTTTAAAAAATGATTCGTTTTTAAATTTTCTGATTAGTCCTTAAAATCAAATTTTGAGCTGTAAACGATCTAATATGTTTATGTGTTAAATGTAGTTTCTTAAGCACTAATTTGAGAAAGGACCAAGGGCGTATATGGGGGGGGGCAGTGCCCCCTAGAACTCAGAGCTTTCACGCTTTTCGAATCTTAAATTCAATAGTGAAGAACGAAAAAATAAGTGCACAAAGAAGATTGTATACGTGGACCAGAGCCACTATGACAGAAGTCAGAATGAAAAAATCTGTTTAGAATGCAGATTCATCCTAATCGGATGGGCGCTAACAGGGATGCCGAAGTAAAACAACTATTTTTAAATGCCAAGCCACGAAGGCTTGAGTTTGGAGGTAGTAAAAGACCATTTAAAAAAAAAAATTGGATTTAATTTACTTTATTCATTACACCGCCGCGCGTTTTGTAATCTTTCTTTTTATTACAAACTAGCTGAAGTGCCAGGCGTTGCCCATGGAATTTTAAAAATCGAGTTAAAATTTTGCCCCCCCCTAGGAGCTCCTAGCGGGAGGGGCAAAAAAAATCCCCCCCCTAGATTTCTCTATACACCCTTGGAAAGGACGAGCAACGTTGTTGATGGTTCACCCTGTACGCTATCCCTTCGTTTACACTGAAGTAATGTGTAAAGTCTCCGAGGGAATATATCTCTCCACACTCCATCCTTCCCTAGGTTCGGTCTCTTTATCCTCATTCTCTACCCCCTCTCTACTCCTGTCCTGATAACAAGATTATTTATCCTAATCGACCGGATCCAGTTCATCAAGTTAGATTCGTTTAAAGTGAATATTTTCTTTACGTTTGTTAGTAGTGTCTTTTACCGACAACCTTACCAAATATTTTCTTCTTTTTTATTAGTGTAATGTACATAGTTTCCTGCCAATAATATTATTTGTGTCATTCCTTGTCAAATCAATAAATAAACCATTTTACAAATATATTATTTAAGGCATAAAGACTTAATCCGATTTAATGTTAAGATTTTTAGGTAGTTTGTGGGTAACCATGTATCTTTCATTCTTCAATATTGATTTGATTTAAAAGCAAACCGTGTTTTTTTATATATACATACATATATTTATATCGGTTTATTTTTGGTGACTAAGACTTGCTTCTTATTTACTTTAAAGAAATTAACGCTTGCAAAGTTGTACTGTGTGTTTATAAATTTTTCCTTTGTTTCTATCATCAATGTATTAACCCTATTCAGGCTGACGTCTGGTTCCGGGGACCCCCCCCCCTCAACTTCCTTAATCTGATAGTGACACAAATCGTTAACATTTCATACATTTTTGGAAAGCCCTTGGGTTCTTCTCAAATGATCTGCAAAAAATTTTTTAATTTGCAATTTTAAAATATTTATTGCAATATTAAGTTATAAAGCAAAAAATGTGCAAAAACAATAAATGTGCGAAATATGAAAAAATCAAACATTTATTGAAAGCTCTTACCACGGCAAATTCAAATATGCAATAATATTTGCTAAATTTTCTAAATCTTTATTTGTAACTAAGAAAGACTGAAAATGTGCAAATTCTCTTCAAAAAGCATCTGTGCAAAAATCAATGCAAAATTTCTTCTTAAAAATTGTGCAATCTGCTTCCTTTTGTTTAAGGCTTTCTAAAGAGCTATAAAAAGTCGAAATCTTATGACCGGAAGTGGGTTTAAATATAGATTTAGTCGAGTAAATGTAAAATAAGGCATTCAGGCAGTATGCCTGAGAACTTAGGCTGTTGGTATAAAAGCCCCGCATCAAGCATGAAGTGAGGGGCATGTGCTAGTTAAAAAAGTCAAAAACTGTAAACAGCCTTAGACCAATACTTATTGAGTTATATCCAAAAAACGTCAGAGACCCCCCCCCCCCAGCTGGAACATGGTTAATATCTATTTTTATAATACATAGATCCCTCCTTCATCCCTTCTCAGAAAATCTCGAGATAAACCCTTGTAAATGAATATTGTAAGTCCCCCATAGATAATTTTAACTTTAAAACTTCCCACTCTTTTTAAAGGTACTGTATAAGTAATTTTAGATAACCGGCCCTATATATATGATATGCCTCATTTTTACCGTTGCCCTTTAAACTTTTTTGTCTGACTTAAAACTGATTTTTTTTTCAATTTTGATTCTTTCATTCGATTGATTTCCGCATTTTTACTATGGAGGATTTAAGAAGCCAATTAAGGAAATTTACAGAATTAACACTTTTGTCTCAATTCTAACTCGAGAAAGAGCTTTAAAGAGCACCGTTAGGTGAATCGGAAGGTAATGGGAAGGTCATCTAACATTAAATCTTCAGTTTTAAGTGCGGGGTTGAAAGTCATTCAACAACATCATATCACATTAAAAAAAATATCTTGTTTTGACTTCTATGCATGTAAAACCATAAAAACTAACAGAGTTTGCTTCTGCTATTCTTTCTTGAAATTTTTCTTGTGTTTTATAATGAATAGTCTATTGCGTTAACGAATTAACTAGTTCTTTTGTTTGCTAACGGAATTTTTCTGTAATTTTCAAAAACTGCCTTTCGTTAACAGAACATTGACCAACCCAATATTTTACAGGGTGTGACAAAAAAACATAAAATTGCTTGCGGATTTTCATGTTTTCATGAATTACCAGATTGTCTGCTGACAGATTATAAAACATCCACTAATAAGCTACTCAGAACATTTTCATATCAAAAACAGATAAAGCTTTTTAAAAATAGATATAGCTTTTTTAGAAATAGATATAGCTTTTTAAAAATAGATATAGCTTTTTAAAAATAGATATAGCTTTTTAAAAATAGATATAGCTTTTTAGAAATAGATTTAGCTTTTTAAAAATAGATATAGCTATTTAAAAATAGATATAGCTTTTTTAAAAATAGACATAGCTTTTTAAAAATAGATATAGCTTTTTAAAAATAGATAGTTTTTTAGAAATAGATATAGTTTTTTAGAGATAGATAAAGCTTTTTAAAAATGGATATAGCTTTTTAAAAATAGATATAGCTTTTTAAAAATTACAAAATGATAAAAACACCTTGTATGAATGGTAGGCGTACCTGAAAATTCTTGAATATATTTTTAGTATAAGTATACAAATATATTTTTTGTTTTATTACACAAATATTTGTTTTGTTTAATTAAATAAATATATTTTGAATTGGATTAATATAACAAATATGATCAAGTGCACTTTCTAAGATTTGGAGGTTTTAAATATTAGTTATTCAAGAGACCCTAGAGGGAGCAATAATATGATTTAGAACAAGAGCTTCTCCTTTGAGTATACCTCAGACAGTGGGAATTAAATAAGTTTCTTTTTCCTTTAACTCGAAGGAATACAAATATTAAGAACTACTTTGAATTTGAAATGGTTCATACAATGTTTACATTGCTAATTATTACAATTAGGATTTCGAATGTCCATATCATCAATTGCTTGGATAGGTCTGATATTGTTGACAAAGTTATCGATTAGATCTTTTAGAATAATCGTGCTCTGATTATTATAATCTAGAACTGGTACCTCCATCATATCCCAGGCTTGCTGGAAGTTTGTGGAAACATGAAAAGCACAGTTTGCAAGATACATTCCAGTCTCCGGCCGTTCAACCACTATTTTCCGGGCTAATAAATCTAGTGAATTCCTCCAGTTTTCCCAGAACTCCAGGTCCTCTGAATAGCAGGTTCTTATAACAGTATCCTCTGAGCTCATGAGTATGAGGATAGGATTGTCTGCGTACATAAATGAGGTTCCAAAGCTTATGCAAGGCAAGTTAGCTCCTGTTCCACCTGTATTGGCCGTCTCACATGATTCGTCTGAAATTGAGTCCCATATTTGGAAAGCAGCGTATTCCAGAAGCTGGGGGTAGCAAAAGGGAGTGTGTACGTCATACGGATATAAACTGCCGCTGTCGGAGATACATCGTACATCTAGATTGGGATTTATCATTTTTAACTCTCCAGCAAAGCTATCACAGTTGGCCTCTGTTCCTATTGCCCCGGCAGAACCTCCCATTAGAACAACCTGCTCGGCCGAGGTTATCCAGGTATTCTGTATTAAATCCTCTGTCATACCTCTAACGATATACTTGCCGTGAAAAGTAAAGTTATGAGTGAGCAAGGAAGGCCCCCTGGTCCCGGTGTGAACATCACTGCTAGAATACGGTAGAAAAACTTTAAAGAAATCATGAAAAGTCGGATTCTCTTGTGGATCAGAACTCCAGATATTGGTGGATAGCTTATTGGATTCTGTATCTAGAAAAGGGTCTGTTCTAGCTGTACAGAGATGAGGTTCATCAACACATCTGGTCTCACAGTCAAAACCAGGTACTCTTGGAACACAGAATCCTCCCCCCTCAAGGTAGATCAACATCTTCTTAGACTCCGACATCTCCGTCTGACGGTAGTACACTGCTGTAGTTCCGTCCATACAGGTTGCATTGATGTAGTTCTCCAAGGAGACTCTTTCTAGCATGTTCTAAAAAAGAGGCACTTTAAAATTTTTTTTAATCTAATAGACTGTTTTTTACCTTTCCAACTTTAAATCCATCTTTTCCAGTTGGTCCTTTTAGATCAGTAGCATCCCCCTCTAATTTTAGATCAGTAGCATCCCCCTCTAATTTTAGATCAGTAGCATCCCCCTCTAATTTTAGATCAGTAGCATCCCCCTCTAATTTTGAAATCAAATCTGGGAAAGCTTGTATTGTGGATATCGAGATCAATGCTTGATATCGATCTTATGTTCATCTGCAGATTGATTTTATCTTTTTTTTAATATCCCAGATGGTAATGGAAAGGTATAGTATTTTATAGATCCTTAAATTGAAGTGTCCACAGTGGAAACCGAGATCAAGCGATTCTGGATATTTATCCAACACAATAGTTCCCAGTTCAAGTTACACTGCATGAAAATATAATATTGCAGTTTTCTCTTAAAAGGCGTGGAGATATTTTTACTTTTGAAAACATCACCTTAAAGCTTATTTTTGGAATGGGGATTTTTTGTTGAACAATTTTGATGTTACATGTACAACCTTGTGACCTCGTCGCTCCTCTAGCTTGGATTTTGCGCGCAAAGAAAATCAATTTATGTAAGAAATTCAAAACATTCTATTTTAATTCATGCTCTTCAATAAAAATAGATTTCAATCTAACGTGCAATTTACTTTAGTATGACGTGGCAAGGACATGAATTATCAGAGTCAATGCGTCAAAAAAATGGTAAAATCATCAGTGTTTTACCTGATTTAATAGAGGTTGATAATCCTCCAGTTACTAAATAAAATAATATTGTTGAGAAAATTAACATTTTTATCGTAAACTTGGTTCAGCTCAGCGCAGACTGGAGGTTTGAAAACACAGCAGTGATAAGGAAAAGAATAGGAAACGATCAGAATGTACATTCTAATAATAACCCCCCCCCCCTCCCTTCACCCTTATAGGATAAAAGAACCAAGAGCCCCTCCCCCCCACCCTCGAAAATTTGAAAAAGGTACACCCCCCCCTCGATCCTTGGGCAACTTCTGTATACACCCCTGGTTCTAATAACGAAAACATATATACCACAATATTAAGTAATATGTTTTTGCGGGTTAGACATTGTGTCTTATAGATAGAAATCACCTTGACATTTTTTTATTCATGAGAAAATGTAGCTTAAAAGTTTTTTTGTAAATACATTTATTACAGAGACAGTGATTTATAATATTAAAAGAATAGTTTATTCTCTTTTAATAACTGAATTATAAACATCTAAGATTTACATATTTAAAAGATTAAATGTTTATTAACATGTTATACTTGTATACTCATGCTTTAGATGTTTCTAATTGTCATCAATAAAAAAATGTTTACATTGTTTTGCGTGCATTATTTAAAGCTTCCTAGAAACCTAATTATCGGTGCGAAAAATCAAAAATTTTCAAGAATGTGTTGAAGTTTCATTTTTTATAATTTTGTTTTATTTCTCAGTTACTTATAAACGAAAAAGATTGAACAATAATGTGATTTATCTCACGAAGTATTTTCTATTTGTATGGGTGTTAGTTTGTTTGTATGTCCGATCATAACTCATGAACCCCTTTACCGATTTCTAGAGCTCAGTAGAACCATGGAAATGTTCTTAGTTTTGTTCTAAAAAATTTTCGGAGCATGTATTTTGACTTTTATTGCTTAGTTTCGAATTAAAGCTGGGTTCCCAAGCTATAGTTTCTCGGGAAAAAATCTACCAAACTAAAGGTTACTGTGAGCTATGCATTTTCTCAAGAAAAATGAAAATCTACATATATATTCATAATTATTGATTGATCCTGATAAAGCTTTTTTTAATAATTTGATTAATATCAAAGAAAATAACGAGTCACAAGGTTAAAGCGAAAATAGTTAGCATTTTTGTTTGTTGGTTCAGAGGTATCTATAACACTTAAGCACCAATCAAAGAACATTTTCATGATTCTACTGAGTTACAAAATCAAAATTTGAGGCAAATCGGTCCTGGGGTTTATAAGATATGATCGCACATTTAAAAAGACAAACAAAGATTACAACTTTAGATAAATGATCTTAACATTTTTACCGTCAGAATTCAACATCATCAGAAGAACTGCACCAAATCCATATGTATGTAATTTGTAATTCCGGGACCAGATTTAATGAATAGCGACAAGTAGTTAAACCAGGTAAGGCTGATTCAACCAGTTCTCTTGTGCGCCAGTTCAAGCTAAAGAAAAGTCATTCATTTTAATCTACGTAGTTCAATTAACCAAAAACCAGTGAAGAACAAAAGATTATCTGGTGTATTTCACACAAGTGACCCGTGATAATTCACGTGTTGACAAGGTGATTGTAGACGATTTGATCACGGGACTCTAGGACGTGTTTTTACACGGGGAAAACTTGAGTTAAATTTACGAGATTTTTACATGAGAAAATTAATTTTCTTCAATAGATTTTTTTCATCTGCGCTAATTCGGGAAGGGGAATAAATAGTTGATTTCTGATATAAAAATACTTCGTAAAAGAATATATAATCATCACTAAATGTTTATAAACTAAACATTTTAGTTTATATCTTTTACATTAAACATATTGAATATTTATACTTTAAAGGATCCATTTGCACATAGTAATATTTACAGTTTAAGGAATGTTCAACTATTTCAATGTATTCATAGTAACCTGCCTACTTACATCTAAAAGATTGATATTCCAAAAAGGGGTTGTTGAGAAATACAAAACAAAATTCAATGTGAAACTTTTCTTACTTTGCTCATGCTTGTACTGATCCGAAACATTTATTTCAGTTAAAATATTTTATTTTTCTACAATATACTTTTAGTTTCTAAAAGATGAGCAGAGACACCAAGTGTTGTGATTTTGCAACTCAATTAAAAATGAAAATAAAGTTCTTCCCGTGATGTATGATTAAGATGTTGGGAAAATGCGAGATCTTGCACTGGTATCTTTGTTACAAGCACAACATGTGGAAAAACGACGGGAATTGAATTAGAATTATCTCATATATCTTACACATGATGATTACGAGAATTAAAATCTAGATATTCTGGCAATGCATTACTCGTGTTTAACACGATGAGAATATACGAGATCTTGCACTGGTATCTTTGCTACGTGCACAAAATATGAAAAAACAACGGGAATTTTACTAAAATATTCCGCGTTTTTTTCCTGTGCTTCACATGGGATGAATTTTCAAGATTGTGAAAATTAGCTTTACCACAAGTTTAACACAAGGAGGGGTCGTAAATTAATCAAATGAATTATCAACCAGTTCTCCACTAGTTAATCTCGTTTCAAACCTGCGTTTTCCTTGTTGAGGTAGTTCAACTACTTCTTACATTAATCAAATCTCTGGTTCCTCTGAGTCTGGTCCTTGTTGTCCTAAATATATAAATATATATACAATCCAATCTAAAAAAACACAAAACCTCGACTTCTCTCTCTTCTGTATGCCGACTGAACGCATTAGATATTTTATATATTACCCTCAACCTTCTCTTTTATTCCTTCTCCCCACCTTCTCATTCTTTTCTTCTCCCCACCTTCTCATTCTTTTCTTCTCCCCACCTTCTCATTCTTTTCTTCTACCAACCTTCTCATTCTTTTCTTCTACCAACCGTCTCATTCTTTTCTTCTCCCAACCTTCTCCTTCTTTTCTTCTCCCCACCTTCTCATTCTTTTCTTCTCCCAACCTTCTCATTCTTTTCTTCTCCCAATCTTTTCATTCTTTCCTTCTCCCAACCTTCTCCTTCTTTCCATCTTACCTTCTCCCCAACTCCTCATTCTTTCCTTCTCCGAACCTTCTTATTCTTTCTTTCTTTCCTTCTCCAAACCTTTTTATTCTTTCCTTCTCTCAACCTTTTCCTTTCCCACTTTCTCATTCTTTCCTTCTCTCACTTCACCTTTTTTTTCCTTTTCCCAACTTCTTATGCTTCCCTTCCCCCCCTAACCCGACCGAATAATTGATGGATTTGGATGGAGTCTAAACTCCCATACACCTCTACCCCCCCCCCCCCCCCCTCCCTCGAGAAGAAAATAGATAATACCATTTCCCACAAGCATCACACGTTCACACCTTACCAACATATTTTCACATTTTTCTATCTTTCAATCCGGCTAGCTTGCATCTCTACCTATCTATTAGATCAATCTATCTGTTTATATGTCTTTCTAGCTAATGAACTCATCTCTATCTACCTGTCTATCTTATCTATTTATCTATCTATTTATAAAAAAAGAAAGGAAAGGATAGATGGAAGAGAAAAGACAAAAGAAAACAAAATCAATTCTCAAAAGGAAAAATTCCTCATTTCTTTCTTTTTACTTTTTATGACTGACTGAGAAAAGGATAAAAGAACATAACTCAATTATGTTTGAAAATCCAGCTTTCTACAATTCATTAGCAAATCAACGCTACATGCGATTAACAAAAATCATTATCATTTAACCAAACCTAATAGCTAGTTAAGCCTAAGGAAAAACAGGAAGCAAGATCAGCCCGCGTAAAATAAGTGTTTACTATGGTTTATAGGGTTACCCATGGTCAAGTTTTTAAGACAATGGCGCAACACAAAACATTGGGGTATATGACTTTCAACTGATCTTGAGCAAAACAAAATAATAGAAAGACTTTGATAACAAACTGGAAATAGATTTATTAATATTTCCTTTTATTTGTATGCGCGCGCTTGTGCCCACACCCCTTATCCAAAAATAAATTATTAAAGTTAAAAATCTATCTATTTATCTATATTTCTATATATCCTGCTAGCTCATGTCTATCTACCTATCTATCTATCTATCTATCTATTTATCTACATTTCTAATCCTGCTAGCTCATGTCTATCTACCTATCAGTCTGTCTATCTATACGGCTGATTTCAAATCATATCCATCTTCTTATCTATCTATCTATCTTACGAAAAACGAAAGAACAAAACTATGATTTTCAAGCAAAAAATATTCTTTCGTTTAAATTCTATTTAGATTGTAGATTCAAAATTTTATTTTTCATTAGAATATGCTATGTTTGTCGTTTTGATATTAGAACTATCTTTTTCATTCCAAAACGATCGTTTTCATTCTAAAACGACAGTATTTTCATTTTTGAAAACCATTGTTTTCCGGAACGTTCGTTTTGAAAACGATTGTTTCGTTTTTCCTTTTTTAAAACTATCAAATTATTGTTTAATCCCTATTAAAAAACGATAGCGTTCAAAAATCGATCGTTTACAAAACGAAACGAACGTTTTTAAAAACATTCAATACTGCCCATCCCTAACTATACGTATGCACTACATTACATATAGATATGTAATATGTTCTAAATTACTGTAATTATAGATTGTTAACTCTGCTATGACACTGAACCCCATTTTGAATATATATTTTTATACATTTTAAAAATATAAACTAAAATGAAATATATCAATATCCTGCACTATGTTGGTTGTTTTCCTGAAATCTACATATTAATAGCAAATTTAAAAAAAAAACGTGAAATATGAATATTTTTTATATTTTTATATTTTTATGAATATTTATTATAGCTTGTTTATAAAATTACAAACCAAATACACTTACACATACAGGGTTACCCACAAAGAGTCAAATTCTCTATAGAGAATATGTTGATTTGAAGGTTAAACTTGGTCATCTGCCTTAGCCAAATATAGTCTTCTAACATTAATTTTGATTACAAAAACATTTAATGATCAGAAGCTATTTCTGGTGTAACACTTTTATTCTATATTTATATTTAACTTATTATTTTAGAAATGATGAGTTATTTTTTATAGTCTTTGTATTTTTTA